ATTTTGTTTTTGGTGTATTTTGTTTTGTTTTTAGTGCATTTTGTTTTGTTTTTCGTGTATTTTGTTTGGAAGTCGGTTTTGTTTTTTTCTTGATTTATTTTGATTAAAAACGAAATAAAAGAACCTTAAGAAAATACATAAATTACTTATTTGGCTGTAGTTGTAATAAAAAGTCTTGTGATGAAGTTTCCTAGAAATACAATAAAAAGGGAGGAAAACCAACAACGAATATTACGATATTACCCATATCAGATCATGTCTCTAGATGATTCCGAGAAATGAGGGATTATTTAAGATTTCCCTTCGCTTATCTGTAATCGAAAATGAATTTGACATGATCTAAGTAAATACGTAGGTATATTATGATAATAATATTTATCATTCTATGACCTTATTTACACAATGAGTTATTGACACATGTTTTCATATATTAATGAAATTTTCAATGAATTTGTAGGATCAAATGCTTGAAAGATTTTAGTATTCAAGTAAATTATCAAGCGTAAGCAATACCACGATACCACAATGTGTCTGTAAATTCATTCATGTGTACTCTGTGTGTGTTTTACTCGTTTTATTTTATTTTATCCCGAGACAAGTACTTGTCTAATTATATTTAATTAACTATTGATAGTTCTAAATAGATGTGTGTCAATCTTTGTTCTATAAAAAGTAAATAGACATGAATATAAAATTACCGATATAGTATTATTTTGTGAATGAATAGTTAATTAAAAAAATAATTAAAAACATTGTTATAGGTTTTATATACGAGGATCGCAGTGGGTTTGTGGCAGAGTTCACATGGCCTGCAACAGATGGGGCACGCGCAGTGCTGTGGTGCTCAGGTATTTTGCAAACATATTAATGCTATTAAAAAAGCTATGAATTGTCCGACATGTATACTAAAATAGTATCAAAATTTTGCTGTTCTAACGTTTGTTAGTAAAAGCAACCAAATCCTCAATATAAGAGTTACATAGTTTTTATTAAAATGTAGTTAAAACATTTGTCATTTAATTATTTATTTTTAGAACTCCACTCCAATTTCAAGTATCTATTGTAATTAGTTGATTACTGGATTAGTAAAAAAGTAACGCTTTCCTACTAAGCTTTCGAGCACTTTCTTAATTGAATTTTTGATGATTTGAAACGAAAATAAGAATTTACTTTTACACTAAAAATAAACGAAATTTCAATAAGTCTTAATGACACTTTTAGTAAATAAATTGTTTTGTTCGAGACCAATATTTCAAGTTTTCTTTTTGTAATGAGAGATTTTTTTCAATAGAAGAACATGTCAGCTACAACAAGTAAAGGCGGGAGTACAAAGAAGAGTTCACAGAACCAAGAAGGACGTAACTGTTACCATTTGAGTCATCTATCGCGCAACGTGCTGCGCGCGCGCCGTGGCGTCGTCAGAATGCTGATAGTAGTCGTTCTCACATTCGCGATCTGCAACCTGCCCTTCCACGCCCGCAAGATGTGGCAGTACTGGTCTACAGGCTATCAGGGCACCAGCGACTTCAGCGCCCTCCTCACACCTTTGACATTTCTCATCACATACTTCAACTCAGGAATCAATCCCTTACTGTACGCATTCCTTTCTAAGAACTTCAGAAAAGGTATGAGAGAGCTACTCTTCTGTAAATTTCACGGTAAAAGGAAAAGTGACAATTTGATTTTGCTTAACCGTGTTGGTGGAACTGGCTTAAGGCGTAGTTCCACTCGGTCTACTCGTGCTAACTGCAGCACTGTCACAGTGGCGCCGAACGCGGACTCATGAGACATGCGTCGGAGGAGGTTCCTCTATAAAGTTGAAAATATAGACATTTCTTGATTAACGGAGAGCACGGACGAGGTGACCGACAGTAGTGGTATGTGCACCTCTGTGGTGTCAAAAAAGGACCTGTACGATTGACTTTTAGTGTTCGTGATGTGAAATTGTGTAATTACAAAATTGATGAAAAATATTGTTAATCTCTTTTCGCTTGATAAGATTCATTAATTATCCATTTTAGTTTGTATTAAGATGTTATAGTATAGTTGTTATGAGCTTACGTTCTTAATTAAGGCTTAAGGTGACTTTAATCAAAGATAAAACTTATTTTGGAATAATTCATTAGATTCAATTTGTATTTGTAAAAAGCAGTACCAAATCTGTATTGTTGCTATATAAAGATAATTTTTAAGAGATTTACTTAGTGTTGATAATTAGAAATAAACCCTATTACGTCATTGACAATGGGTAGTACAAATAGTGTAAATTTAATCTTATTGCGTACAATTGTAAATGTGTACAGGTTTTAACGATATGAAAGTCAGAAGAAATGAAAATCCGCAACTATTTTGCATGTTTCTTGCGGTTTTGTTTATCTTGCCCTATGTTATTGGGTTTGCTTGTTAATTTTTAGTTGTAGTGATGTCTTGGTGATTTTAGTGGTAATGTATTTAATTGAAGATTTATTTATTCAAAAAGATCTCAATGGTGTTGATCAAAAATGTTCCTTTATTTTACTTGAAGATAACAATATTCATCGTGTATATAAATATTATACATTAAAAGTAATGTTTAAGATGTCTAGTCGAGTATAAATGTAATTGAAATCTAATATATTTTATTAAAATTTTCTTATAGAACAAAAATATGTAATTATGATTAAATGATAATTCAAACTAGTTTATAATCTTTTCATTATTGTAATATAAAGTGCTTCGTTTACAAATAATACAAAATAATGCATGCATCTTTGGGTTTTGTTTTTATTTTTAAAAATCGAGATAATCTGTCTCTGTACAATGGGCTTTACGTCAATGCAGATCTTTTATAGAAATTATATAAAAAAAAACTCAATTTGACCACACCTAGTCATTAGTTTGGTATAGTTAATCCTTTTGTATTTTACATCGACATATGAAAGATAAATATCAAGGATAGAAACATATTTGAAGTAACTTATCACATTTAATTAAACTGTACAATATTCGAAAATACTCAAGTTATACAAAAGTAAAGAAGTTTTGTTAAATATTCACTTGTAATGCATCCATAACTTTGTTTTACGTATAAATGTAAATATTTAATAATTTACTTAATGACAAAATGCAGTTTTTGTAACTTTTTATTCTGAAATGTAGTTGTACAGAAATTGATATATTTGTAAATAACATATCAATAAATTAATTAATTCAATGAAATTTCTTTTATTCAACAACAATCTCAAAAAACACATAGATTTTTTGGACAGAGAACTGATACGAAAAGAAAAACGAATCAAATGGGGAAGACGATTGAAGTGAATCTTTGCACAGCTCTTAAATAAAAGGAAACGCTTTGACTTTACACCCGTCTTCTGTGAGGGTCAAATTATATAGACCATAGACCACTTCTATAAACAAATGAGCATCAAGAAAAATTATTTCAATAATTCTTATGCCTTTATTACTTGGGAACAAAAAGGCAAATACACTAATAAGTCCAAAGCCTTAACTATCTGGAAGAACTAGATATAGAATTTTACTTTCAGTAATGGTAATAGTGAATCTAATCCTTCTTTTAAACCCACTTTAAAAAGGAGGATTTTCTCAATTCGTTTTTCCTTGTGTTTAATATTACTAGAGGATATTAGCGTTATATTGAAGTAATTTAACCATAGTAATGTGTTTTGGTAGAACGCCAGCATTGTAAAAGAAGCGGAAACGTCGACGGTGGAAGCAATAGCTTTGTTTTAATTGGATAACCTTCTTTCTAACAACTTTTAACACTGCACGGGTTATTTATAAGTCAGATAAGTGGCTTTTGAATAAAATTGTGGTAGCAATCTCAACCTAACATCTTTAAAGAGTTTTGCGTGAGACACTTTAACCTTTAAGAAGCTGTCGGATGTTTTAATAATTTCCTAAAGTGTGTCACCAAACATAGCTCTGATATCGGTAAGAAGTTACTGATATGAGAAGTTTATTTATTAAACCGTTTTACATAAGAGTTTACATGTAAAACAATCCATACTACTAAAACCAGAAAGTGTTAAAATTGAATGTGGCTACAAAGGTGGAGGGAGACCAAAGAAAGTATGGATTGTGTGAAACGGGATATGCTTAAGAAGGCCCTGGATTCAGATATGACTACTGGTAAAAATGCGTGGAAGAGCAGCACTGCACCAAGCCTTCTTAGGAATAAGGACAAGTTGATGATGAACTCCAAGTAAAACTTTTATATTTATAATGAAATACTTATTCACGTATTGTGTATCTTTGGACAATTAGGATCATATTTAATGAACGTATTGATAAATCAATAGAGACTTTTATTATCTGTTAGCGTTTCCGATATTAGGGTGTGCGTCGTTAATCTAGACGCAATAAGAATTTATACGACGTGATACTTACGAAAAACGACAAGGCAATAAAATAGACCGTTAACATCAAACACGATCTGTCTAGCTCAGCTGATTTAGGTAGTTGAGTAGTTATAGCTAATCTAAAAACAGATAAAGTAAAAAAATACTATTTTTTATATTAATGGTTTTTAAATACCATTCCTCCATCCACATCACAATATTCCTCTGTCCTGTTCTATAATTTGTTTAGTTTGATCAAAAAGGGAGTGATGACTGAGATGACGTATGATATGTTTTTGGAGGACAAAAACCTATTGTGCCGACAATACGGGATAAGGATGATGATGATGATGATGGTTTGAATTAAAAAAAAACACGTTATCAAAAAATCAACCTTGAGGTATCGATTCCCTCGTAAAATGAATAATGTTACCGAAAAGTTTTATAGTGTTTTTTGTAAACAGACTTTTGACCGTGTGTTTTATTGCGTGTTTCATATAAATCTAGTTAGCTGTTTAAAAACTATTTAAACCATGGAAATTACTGCAGATTTATTAACAAAATACATATAACTTACTATCAGGTTTGGGGTAAACCAATGTTTCCAAAGAAATTGATACCTATTTCATACATGAAATAACTAAAAGTAGTTAAAATTATTTATACTACGATTAAACAGTTTTAATTCCCTGCATTAAAAATGCTTTGTTTTTTCAATGATAGTAACATAAATAAGCCCGCGTTTCGTTAGATAGTAATGGTCGGAATTTTTACACTGTAATTAAAATTTTACACCATTCTTAAATTTATATAAAATAGCAACGCATTTGTAACGGTTATACATCGGATTTAAGTTATTTTATGTTTACAAGTTTCTAACAAACTTAATATTAGCCAATTAAGTTCTACGCAATTATTATGGCAAGAATTATAGCTAAACTGACGAATCAATTTTTCTAAATTGAAAAAAAAAATCGATATTACCCATATGTGCAATTTTAATTTGTCCGCCTTGCTATTGAAAATACTAGTATGGTATTGCAATATCGGTGAAAATTCTAAAGAACATTCTGTTCAACTTGAACACGTTCTTGGAAAAAACCTTACCTATGAATCATTCTCGTGTTGAAACTTTTAAGAGTACAGGCAATTGTTTTGATAATGATTTGCATATTTTTAACTTTCGTCTAGCGTACACCGATTCCAATACTCAAATATTTGCTTTCAAATTTATTCTGCGTTTGCTACGAAAAAAATTTTATGTTGAAAAATATAAATGAATAAACACGTTTCATAAAAGTATTTTGACGTGTAATTGAGTAAAGCTTACATTAAACTCACGATGCTTTGAAAACTATTTATTGTTTTACTTTGAAATATTATTTTCGTTATATTTATCAGATAAAGAATGTGTTCGATACCATTTACATATATGCTTTCGGAAGATTTATGATTTAGGAGATGAATACGATATAATGTTTGAATGGATGTATGGATATTTGTTATCATTCAGGAACGTAAACTCAAATTTTAAAAATAGATTAACTATAGTTCGAAACCATTGATGAAAGCTAAGAAAGTTTGTATAAAATTTTGCAGTTTACTGTGTAAGTCATTCGTCTTATATTTTGAAGTTCAGAGTAATCTCCGCTGCCGATGATAATGGAATGATCAAGTGTATTACGCGTATATTCAAGACGAAGTTGGCTATGAATATGTGTTGGCGTTACTTTATTTCTTAATTAAGACGCGTGCGGCCGTAAAATATCTGATCCTGGTTGGCTTATATCATCGTATCTGTTACATCAAGCTATATGTGGATATGCCGTTACTCTTTTGTTGATCTACATAAGTAACATACCTAAATTAACAATTTTTTTTATATGCAGATGCCTAATGAAAGATAAATTCAAACTGCAGTCGCAACTTTTATTTTAATGCTAGCTATTGTTCGCGAATTCGTCCACGCAATATTAAGATGAAAGAGTAGCCTACAATATGCCCGTATGTCAGCTACCCTTCGGTGAATGTCCGGTCGAAATCGGTCTAGCCGTTTAGGAGTTTACCCGGAAGTAAAAGAAGAAGCCGGTTTTGGGCGTTCGGACAGACAGACAAATAAAAATATTTTAAATGCGCTTTTCGTTATCAGCAACTCAAGTAAATCATCTTTCCGATATCTGGATTTTTTCTGATATTACAAACAGACCATCCAATTTTATTATATGTATAGATTCAAAATTCTAAACAACGATATATAAAATGTTATTATTATAAGTCTGCAATGGGCAATAAATTCCCCAGATTCGTGCAACATGCACGACTGAAGTTTTATGCATCACAAGTTATTAATGTTCTAGTACATTTTTAATGTTTATTTTGTTTTAAATTCTTGTATTACATCCTTTGATGTGCGCGTGTAGCGTTATTATTTTTAACATATCAAATCAAACTAATATTACAAGCTTTTTACAGTCTAAGATTTTGTTATTTAAAAATTATTCATCATCTCAACTAGTTTCAAATCCTAAAGAAACCAATTTAGCTCATTGGCAATAAGCACACCCATGAACAACGCCTACTCTTGTATATCTTAATGTACTTTTAACATGACAAATGTTGTATAACGTACACATATTGTAAAGAAACACGGTAAAATAAATCGCATGGAACTTGCTTAGTTCAAGGGTTGGTTTCTTTTATTTTAAAAAATAACTAAGAAGTT